CGGGCTCCGACAGTATCGGGACCGGTCGGGCTCCGACAGTATCGGGACCGGTCGGGGCTCCGACAGTCTTGGGATCGGTCGGGTTCCGACAGTCTTGGGACCAGTCGGGCTCCGACAAGCCGAGGGACCGTGTCGGGCTCCGACAGCCGAGCGCTGCCTGAACAACGGTCTCAGTCAGACTTGGTGCCGGCAGGACCATCGGCGTCGCCCTATGCCACCAGCGCAGCTCCGTAGCCCACTGTGCAAGTCGGGCGGTGGGGGTGACCAGCCAGCTCGACGCACCCGAAGCAGGCCCCGCCGCCGTGCGCAGCCCACCGGCTCCGCGCTGGGGGCCGTCCGCCGCCTGTTCCGCCAAGGCGTGGCTGATGAAATAATCAGCCAGTCGTTAGTTTCGCCACAGGCCGGGTCACACGTCGTGCCGGCCGATGGTTCGGCAGCACGTTGTGCTGCTTACGAAGTAATTTGTCCCCACCCGGGTATTAGTCGTCGTTACTTACTTCGGCGCATGCCTGGCGCCCGCGCCGCCCGCCACCGGGCCCAGCGGCACGCGCTGTGTACAGGCTGTTCATGGTATGTATTCCAGAGTGAAGCTGTTCTGGAAGAAGTTGGCAGCCCGGGACTCTGTTGGCTGGAAGAGTCGCAACTTTCAGGGTCCAACGAGCAGCGGTAAGCACAAGCTGTTTTGTACAGACACCCAAAACATGTGTGAACAATCCGCGTGCTGTAAGCGAAAAAGGCTAAACGTTCCTGGTCTTGGCAGCTGTCGCATGCCGGGTCGGTTCCTTCGCGTGTCTCGGTGGCGGGCTGCCCCACATCGGGTCACGTTGACTGCCGTGGCGGCTGGGATGCCCCAGCGCCCGTTTAGTGGAGGTCACGACACCGGGCTACAGGGCACGTGGCCTCCTGGGATCCCCAGCCACCGCCACCGCCACCGCCACACAGCGGGCTTCAGGGCAGGTGGGACCCTGGGATCCCCAACCACCGAAACTGGTCACACACCGGTCTACAGGGCACGTGGCAGCCTGGGCTCCCCAGCCACGGCCACCGCCACCGCCACATAGCGGGCTAAAGGGCAGGTGGGTCTCTAGGAACCCCAACCACCGACACCGACCACACACCGGGCTACAGGGCGGGCGGAATCCTGGGATCCCAGTCACCGACACCGGCCACACAGC